AAAGATTCAATTCTTTTATTAAAATTTTTTTTTAATTTGATAAAAGATATCTAAATTTTTTTTTTTTTGATAATATAATAAAGTGACTTGTTTATTATTTTGAGAATTTTTTTTATTGAGCTACAAAATATTTGTTATATATATTTTATATTTGTATTATATTGTCCAACTCATTTATTTATGTATTATTATTTAACAAACGAAAAAAAGATTTTTTTTTTATCCCGTACAGCTGGTGCAACACGCCCATCAAAGCTAATTTGATATCGTTTACAGGCGAATCTAAGGGACTAAGAAAAAAAAATTTAAGTTGCTTTCTTATTTTTATTTTTATTTTTTTAAAAAAAGAAAACAATTAATAGTAATTGATTAATGTTAAAGAAAAGGAGGAAAAAAAAGTGAATAAAATCAAAAAAAAAAAAAAAAAAAAAAAAATGAGGATGGGGAAAAAATCATAACTATCTACCGGAATCTGCATTATTTTAAAATTTCTCAATCTACATTTTTCAACGAAAAAAAAATTAATTATAATATATCATGTACGAAAGAAATTTGAAATATCAACATAAAACGGCACATACATTTTTTATTTATGAGTTCCCAGTTAAAAGATGAAAAGAAAAAATTGAAAAAAAAATTAACTAAAAAATATATTTTTGCTTTGAAACATACCTACCAAAAGTCTAAAGAAGTTAATTGAAGCTTGATAACTAAAAAAAAAAACTAAACAAAAAAAAAATTCCCCCAAAGTAAAAGGAATCAAACCTAATATCTATAGATAGCATATGAACTGATTGATGAATGATTGATAACCGATTGGTTGCCAATTGTTACTGTAAAATCAAAATGATTATGATAGAATAATCGAAATTTTGGTCATTTTTTAATGTCTTTAAATAGAACGAACAATTTTTAAAAATACCAGAATTTTACGAGAGAATGATTATTAATTTTTATATTATCTTATTTTGCCATAGAATGATTGGATATAAATTTACCGATCAAATGGCAATTCGCAGGTGATCTTATTAAAAAATAAAAAAGTATAAGACTTTTGATATGATGAGTTGTGGGTGAACCTTGGTGTCAAATTCAACATTAAGAAACGAACAGAGCGAACAAATTTTAATGTTAACGTTAAAAATAAAATTTGTGCTCGCCAGGTATTCCTTTTGGATGACGATCATCATTTAGTCATGCTTACATAACTACATAACCCAATTTTCCATTGTCTCAAAATCTTTCCTTTTTTAATGTTTTAATGCCATTGTACCCATCTAACAACTAATCTTTTTTGTTTTCAATAAATAATTTAAAATAAATTTATAATCATTCGCAATTATTTTGATAAAAAAAAAATATTATAATAACTAAACGAAATTCTTACGAGCATATTGTAGAATTCATGCATAAATTTTATAAATAAAGTTTATTGCGTTAACAATTTAATCCGAGTCAAGCTTGGCGGGGCTCGAGTCACTCGAGCTCTACTCGAGCGTCTTTTATCATATTTGTCGTATTTATTCTACTCGATTAAATACTTTAATAGGAAAATTTGCCCTTAACAAATAGAATTGTTTTATTTATAATATTCATTTAACTATATTTTTGTTCAATAATAAAATTTACCGTTAAGTAATTTAACCTTAAACTTACATTTGTTAACTTTTTTGTAATGCTGATTCTTGGCAATTAGGCTGTAATGCAGTGAAACACGTCAACTTATCACCCGCGCTTATTGATATATTAATGAATTTTCAATATTTTTATATTAGGTCTTTGATGAAATGACAGATTCTACTCATAAAAAACATCATAGTAATATTTTTAACATATTTTTTGTATGAATTCTTTGTACAAGTATAGTTTTTATTATTATTATTTATAATATATATTTAAAGATTGATGGTTCATCAAATTTTATCCACAAAAATCACTATAGTAACATTTTAAATATGTGTTTTATATGAATTTTTTGTATTAGTATAATTTATTATGATTATTGTAAATATAATCCTAATACAAAAATAAGTCTGTTGAAGGAAATCCACCACGGACTACTGGGAGAAGGAGACGAGGAAGAAGTAATTTTATTTGCCAAAGGGAGGAAACAAAAGTTGCGAAGTTTTTGCACTTCTAGTGCCAGTTTGATGGCCCGCGTTTAATTCCATCTTCTATGAGATTTTCCTCCGTCAGCAGGTGGGAAAGACAAAGTCATCAATTTTTGTATGTGCAGGAAAATCCTCCTTATCAAGAAATAAGTTTTTCTCTTTTAAAAAGAGATCTTTGGTATAAGACATTTTTAATAGTTTTAAGTTATGCAATAACTAATTGACTGAAGCTCATCTTACCTGTTAAAAAACTTGGTATTTAAGAAGTATGAAAGAAGAAGCATGTATCATCAAGGGAGAAAACATACATTTTATCTCGTATAAAACCCTTGACATTGAACATATATTTATGTTACCATCACGTGACTGCGACGCAAACCCCTGCAATATTAAGGAATAACGTGGGATAATTATCAAAATCAACATAATAATTATTGTTCGTCAAATAATTAAAATAATATATAAGAATTTAAGATATCCGCTTTAGAAGCCTATGACTCAAAACCCAGTCCAGCAAATATTAATCTAAAGTTTGGGCCGAGGTTAACGTTATTAATTCTGGTCGGATTTTCTAGTTATTCTGATCAAAATTTGACCGTGGATTTTACGAAAAAAAAGCATATTTTATAATTAATTTCCTTCAAAAATCGTGATTATAAACGAGATATAAATATAATTTTATTTGTATCCATTTAAATCATTAATATTATGTATTTTTATATTCACTTTATATGGTACCTTTGCGACTTCAGTTTGGGATATTTTAAATCAAATGTACTATATATGAAAGAAACCTGCGTATAAAGTTTCAAAATTAATAACAAAAGTCACATCGAATAAAGGGTTTGACACATTCCGAGATACTAATAAAACGAATAATTCTTGACGTTCGACCTTTTAATATTTTCACATGTTATAAAAAAAAAGACTTATGCAAACAATGATCTTTCACACTGACGACAAAACATTTTAAAATACAATTAGGGATTTTTGTTGTTTCGAATTTTTTATATTTCGTTTATTATCCTAGCTGTTACGTTTTCACGTTTTAATATCCTTCATAAGTACGAACGGGTTTAACGGGTTTAATATCGATATCGAATTATAACGGAAACGGAATCGTAGCGGTTGATCACGAATTCGAAGAATAAAAAGAAATGAATATTGAATATTGCTATATAATGAATAAATTGACACTTTCTATATACATAAAATATTTGATAAAAAAAATTATTTACATAAATTAAATATATACAATGCAAAATAAATTAAATGAAAATTGAAAAAGTGAACTGGATATTAAATAAAATAATTAAAATAATTAGTAAAATTTTTTTTTAAAAAAAAAAAATAAAACGAATATTATAATATAAATATGATATTTACGTATATGCAGTGTGAGTTTATATACAAAGTGGAAAAAATCGAAAGAATACGATAAAAAACAATTGGTTAAAAATCGATAAAGGAAAGTGTGCGGCGGAAATCACGAATTCAAATCTTAAATTTTTAAAATCTTAAAGAAAGCTGAAATCTAAATAGACTTAAAAATTTATATTTGATTTAATTAAAAAATAATTTATTTAGCACGAAATTAAATAATTTAATTTAACTAACCATGCAACAAACCTTTTCTTAAATCTTAATTGCTTAAATGTTCTTATAAACTTATGGTTGGCATATGGAAAACATATACAACTTGCAATCAAATAAATTATAGCTGCTTTTTATATTTAATCTGGACTCATGCGCAGTTTTAGGGATACATATTAAATAATATAATGTTAAATGAGGCATCATGGGGTGTCACATAAATAATAACGCGATGGAAGGTTCCGCGCCTTTATTATTATAACTCATTGAAGATTATTTATTTATAAACATAAATAAATAAATTATTTAATAAAAGTAATAAAAGCTGATTAATATAATACTGTATAAGTTTAGTCTATAATGTCTGATGACACAAAAACCGAAATGGCCGTTTCAATGTATAAATAAAATGATAATTCAGGATATTTGTTTCAAAAATAATTTATTTATTTTCAATACTCGGTATTCACTCATTAGGATAATCTATCAAATCGATTTTACGAACGTTCTCAATAAAAATGAAAAAATTCCATCATTCTTTTATTCTTTTGTACTGTAGAATCTTTATAGTGAACGGTTTTTATTGTAATTTTTCACATTAAGGAATTTTGTTATGATCGTATGATCCGATGTCGGTTCCCTGACTCTGCAGTATCACCTTATTAATGCTTCCATTTGGAAATGTATTTGCGGTACTTAGTATGTTCTGTATAATATTAAATCTTTTATCTACTCAAAAACCATCTTTGCAAAATAAATTAATGATCGGCTAATCTAGTCATAATTATCTCTTTGATTTTATTGGTCTCCTTAAACAATAGCTCATGTGAATTGCAAATCCTAATAACTCGGAGGATAATTTTTCCGTCCGAATGTTTTGAACTTAAAATTTTTGTACCAATAAAATTCTAAAGTCCGATAAGTCCGATCAACGTATCTACTATTTTATTTTAAAACTGCCAGATCAAAGTTTGAGGCTTCCACCCCTATCATCATCTATTGGCCCTTCTCTAATTAATAATATATTCCTTTATATGATAATATACAACAATGTATATTTATGTATATTATTAAGAGTGATTTATATCTTCTTAAAAAGTAAAAAATGGAGACATCTTTGTTACGGAAATTTTAATGGAATTGACCGACCATTACAAGAGACAAACTAACTAAATCGATAAAAAATTAAATTTGATAAAGTTCGATTGGATGACTCAGATTTTTTTCAATACGAAATTTAATCAGATCGCTTTTTAAGATCAATCACATATGGCATAAAGCCACATCGCTATTAGATTAGACAATCTCTTCGAGTAATTTTTTTCTATTATCATATTTATCTTTCTCCGCCTCTTCGTTATTATTAAGCCACGTAATTGGCTTTTCTATTGTGTTTTCAAATTTATCCTTCATATTATCAATGTACTAAATCCAAATATATAATATAAGGATGAAAATTTATAAATATGATCAAACAGAGAAACTTACGCGAACTATGCTATGTAAATTATGCGCGTATTTTTTAAAGCCATTTCGTATTTGCATTTTTTATCTTTCTACACGATATTTCTTAGCTTCGGCAACTGTCAGAAATTATAACAATATATTATTTATTATATTCAGAAATAAATATTTAAGTTTCATTACGTACCAATGAGCTTCTATTAGCGATGGTACATTTCGAATTTTGAGACTTTTTTATAGGTAGCGTGTAATTACCCTTAACAAGCGGAGTCATGACACCACCAGAATTCTCGATACCGATAACATAAAATCTCGAGACTTTTTTGAGTTATAATTAGATGAAATAGCGGTCTCCACAGTATCATCAGAAGCTGCTGTTTTTTTTTGAGATTAATTGTTTTGTTTAATTCTTTCCCAAAGTTCAGATAATTAATTACAGGAGTGCATGTTGAGCTACCAACCAAAGAAATTTCATAAAATTGACTTTTTAATTTTAGCATCTCAAAGTACTTTTTTAATGTTTTAATGCGGATTGGAAAAAAATCTTGATTTAATTCATCGAATTTGATACGTGTTAAAGAAGTAGATTAGTCGATACAATCGAGAAGGGAAACAACTTCAATGAGAACTTGAACCGATGAAAATGTACATTTTGATTTTGCACGTCCGTAATGAGATTTAAAACAACAAAGAGTACGTAAGATTTTTCTTAAATTTGCCTTGAAATCTTGTACGTAATTACTTATAAGACGATTATCGAAGTCCATCATCAAGATGATCGTTCTCGGGTAGCGGCTTCTATTTCAAAAAAATTCTTCATCAAAGTTTAAGTTACTGCAACAGAAACCAAAGATAAGAACATTTCGTTCTCCAGTAGCTTTCATGATCGTCCCGTTAGCAATAGCAGTCGTAGTTGGGAAATTAATTCACGAATCGTTATAGCTTGATATTGAGAAATATTAAGATGTGTTGATAAAGTAATCACAACACTTTTAATTTGTCTGCCAAGGCAATCTTCTAGGATTTCTCTCATTTTTCCAGTAACATAAATGCAATTTCTTTCGTCTTTGAGAACATGGTACGATTATATAATCTTTCATTCTTAAAGTGCTCATATGATAATATTTGTATAAAAAAAAATAATAATTTCTCGATTATTAAATTTTTCAATAGATATAACTCTTTCTTTTTCAACTTGATTAAACCATTTCAGATTGGACGTCAAAATTGTAGAAACTACGGTCAATAAGACGGTCACCAATAAGAATTACTGAATTAGTGAAAGCAATATATGATGGTGTTGTACGATAATTGTAGTCGTTAATAATACCGACATAAATTTAATTAGAATGTATAATAATATACTGTATATACCAGCATATTTATTTTTATATTTAATATATTAAATTTTCTTCAAAAGTTGAACAAAAATTATTGACAATGGTGTGATTCTGTATTAAAAAAATTATTCCTGAATTTCTCACAAAGTAATTTAATATATATATATATTATTATAAGTTTCTTACGCTTTTAATTATTTCTTTTTGTAAATGTCCATAAAAAAAAAATCATATTAATATAAATAATGCATTGTAAATTTTTATATTAAAAAAAAAAAAAAAAAAAATACGCCAATTTTAGACTTAAAACATGAACAATTACGGAGATAAGGAAAGATTTGTTCCGCATAACATTATTGATTTTACCTAAATTGTATATCTGATTTTGAAATCACAACTTAATAAACTATTCCTTTTTGGATTCCGCCAAAGATCATGATAATGCAGGCCAAAAATTGATCCTAATGCAGGCCGGAATTTTTAAATCGCGATTACCCTTTTCGCTTTTTAACAGCGAAGGGTAATGAAATTCCATAAGTATGTTCTAGGCATATAAAAGGAATTACGCAAGCTATAAAAAGGGAACAATAGGATCGTCGAAATAATACTATATATAATTCGATAGAATAACAAACCTGCAAGAAAACACAAAGATAAGGATCAAAAGACCCATTTTTGTGCCGTTATTGTAAATATATTAATAATTTTTTAAATCAGATTATAGAATTAATTAATTTTAATAGTATAATATATTTAAAACACGTCATACATAATTTTAATAAATTTATTTTTATTTTATTAAAAGAAAAAAAGAATTTTAGAAGCTTATATCATCTATAATCAAAAACCTCTAAAAGTTCACTTTGAACTTTTACGTTCTAATTGCTACCATATTGTTGTCGCACAGATCTGCATACAATCAGCTATTGTGAATCCACTAAATCCACTCATTATTATTAATTTGGTCTAGATAAGGGGTTTGTTTAAGATAATAAAATAATGTAACTTCTAATATATTCAATGGATTCTTTATTCCGTAAGAAATTAAAATATGTCCTTTGAAACAAGCCTAAAAACAAAAACCATCAACGTTTTATTTTAAGGATCGATAAGATGAAATCATATGTTCCACATAAATTATACAATAAAATTACAATCTAATGAAATTATTGGTTTTTGTTTCGATATATGTACCATATGTACATAAAATAATATTTAAATATCTCACATCCCGTTCAAAATGTTCATAACAAGATAATTTCTTTTTATAATATTTTTTTTTTACATATATCTTTTCTTGCACCCACTCTCACTTTATAATGTCGACCACGTTTAGCATTCCTAGTAATTTTGCAACATGTCCAAACTGTGAAAAAACATGTACTTCAATTCTCTGGTGTGTTAATTGCGACATTGCATATTTGGTAGAAAATTTCAAAAATTGGTCTAGCGGCGATCCAAAATTAGATGACTTTATTAGACATACACAAAAGACTGCGAAAGAAACTATGGACTTTCTTGAATGGATCGATTTCTCTCAATTTGACCTTATAAAGTATACTGGAAAAGAAGGATCTTTTTCTACTATATACACCGCTTTGTGGATGGAAGGTCCATTTTGGAACTGGGATGAAGCTGCAAGTATATGGTCCCGTGGTGGTCCGACAAAGGTTATACTTAAACGTTTAAATGATTCAAGGGAACTAAGCGATCAGTTCATTAATCAAGTAGGTGTTTAAATTTTTGCTATTAGCCTAGCTTATTTATTTTATTAACAAAGATTTTAATATTTTTTTTTTTTTTTTTTAAAAAAAAAAAAAAA